CAAATTTCGCATTGCCGGTCAATTATTCATGCTCCATTAACTTACACGAGGGTGCGTCCGAGACGCCACCCGACACATGCAGTCCATCTCCACACATCTCATTCCCCTCACAAACAGCAACATGTGCTTATTTCCATCCCAAGTGGAGGGTTACTAGACCCTCCTCCTCCTCCTCCTCCTCCTCACTGTGTATGTACGAACATTCTCAGCTATGTCTAAGGTCATTTCAATCGCAGCTGCAGAAGTTCCCCTCCATTTCACCCACAACCCCACCATTTGATGACTGTGTAACGTGTTATTCAATTATGCCATCTCCACCAGCACATTTATTACACTGTATCGTGAATCTCAGTAGCGAAACGCCCTATCATGATGATAAGAAAGCCATAATATATGTGCATTATTCCATATTGTAATAAATCATTGCTGTCTCCACATCCCACTCCTCCTCTCTTCCCCTCTTCCGTCCTTCTCCATTTTATTATTAGCAATGCCAGTTGACTGATTAATCGTTCCAAACCTAACATCTCGTCACCGATCTATCTAACAGTCACCCAAAGTTGTCGAACCATTTTACTCGACCACCATTTTCCGGCGCTACATACTGCATCTTCTTCAAGCGCCTGACACTCACCGATTTGAGAACAAACATGGCGTAAATCAGACAACCCCAAGTCTCACCCATTTCGACTGACTCAATATGAGCGATTAAAATGGAAAGCTAATGCTGGAGCCAATCGGAATTAACTATACCTTATCGAAATGCTACTCCATCCCTCTGTTCTTCGACGTGCATACAGCCGCAAGTGCTTCCCATATGCTCGCAGATCAAAAGAAGACATTGCTACAAGCTAGAGCTAGACACCTAGGTCGGGCGAATTTTTGACTTCAGAAGATGCCGATAAGAGGTGCATGATCACCCCCAACATCAACCTAACTTGAATCTGCCAACTACCCATCGACTAAGCCGTCAAAGTGGCATTCTTAGTAGACAAGTAGTATTCGAAAGCATCTACTTTGTGGATGTGAAGGAACTGATGTTCGAGATTGGTGACTTTAGCCATGGTGTCATGGAATACGTCTAAACTGCGGGCTAATTTATCAGACCTCCTAGGTATGATCGGCTGTTCGTAAATCGCACACCACAATCCCACACATACAACACAACGGCAGCAATGCGTACTCAGTCCATTGGCCGCCTTCCATATTCCCACTTAACCTTGATTCACCACACCTCTATGTACCTGTTGTATTTGACGAGGTCGACCTCAATGCGGCTGTGATTACAGGGCCTTGATAAGGTTGATGAGTTGGACTTGTTGAAACACGTGCACAGCCTTGTGAATGTAGGTTAATACACTCTCACGATGGGAGAGTGCCAGTGGCAACAAGGTACCCTGTGCGGGTGTACTTTTGCAAGTGTCGCATGAACTTTTAGGGATGAAGTGCAAAACGTGTGCCACTCGTGATCAGACTGCAATCGATGCAAGAGTGCACTCATTTGCTGCTCCCTCCTCCGCCTCCTCCTTTTCCTCCTCAATCGCTCGGCCGCTGATTGCGTCCATTACCAAGTGCCGCCGAAGGTCATTCACAGTAGAGACGGGGCACATGCCTTGGCCACACCTTGCTGTTGACACAGACGAGGCCCCACCCACAAACGAGCACGTGCCTTGGTTCGAAGAAAAAGACTCGCCTCTTCCACATAATGGTCAAGGTCACGCTTCCAATTACCATTCACCACCACTGCTTTGTCAATTCAACTATGCATCCGTAATGTCAGTAGCTTGCACGTGCGCTTGACACCTCGCCTACCCACCCTACTCACGGCGAATCATTAGACGACGAGTATTTTGCTCGATGCATCAATCAATTGTGCACAGATCTTACATCGAGGAGGCATTGAGCCTGCCTCCTCTTTGGCCCCATCAGCCCCATCATTCGTTGACAGCTGTGTGAACCTGCTTCAGTGGGAGTCTCCTCCAATCTTTTCCTCGTATGCAATTACTCCATGTTCTGTAGCAGTCAACTCACCTTTCACGGAACCACGGAACAATGGAACAACCGCATGGGGAGAGAGGGAGGCAAACCTGCCCAACAGAAGTCCATCATCATACAAGGCCGCATTAATAGCAATGTGCCAGATGGAGTACACAAATGACCATGCTGCAAACATTCTTACATTGCAATCTCCCCTCCTTACATCTCTCACCCAATTGTCGCATTCGTCAGTTGTTTGCGATGGTGTCTACTTCCACAGTGCAGATTAATCCTTGCACCCAAATCACGCTTTGTCTACGGCTTCCCTCCTCCCCTCCCCTCCCCTCCCCTCCCCTATTCTCCCCTCCCTTCGATAAGCTGCGCGTTAAGAAGCATTATTGTTTCATCAGCATGAATGATGATTCACTTGGTGTAAAGTACCGATCTAATCATTTCTACCCATTTTCATCACACTAAACATGTCCACTTCCACCCGATAATGCAAACTAGACTGGTTGCATGTTGAATCATACAAGAAATCTAGAAGATCATTATTGTGGGCCAGTTTTGAGTGCAAACAGGTGCTCAGCATCGTTGTGATTGGCTAATACCAACTTGCATGCGACCCATATGCTATTGTCATTGGACGCAAGGACTTAGCCAATGAGGATTGAAGCCACATGGCGTTTAAGCCGAGAAGTGGACGAGGGCGTGCGCGCATGTCGACACAAGGGTAGAAGAAGAGGTGTCCTATCCTTATGCCCTCCACACCCTACGCCAAAGCGCCTTACGCGGAAGTCGCCTCTGCATCATCTATTCCATCCACTCACTCGTCAACATCCCTGCACCGCGT